TGACAATATTTAAATATAATATATCCTAGACTGACAAATCATCTCTGTTCAGAATCGTTTTTCGTATATACAATCATACCTATCATTGCATTCAAATTTAATCCCATCCATTACAGTAACCTACTGTACAGCAGAGCAACATCCWCGACTTACCCGCTTTTTTAAACACTAATTTCATTCTAAATCATTAAAATATTTTTAAAAAATTCATAAAAAATGGCTGTCCTTAAATTTTTAGATACATTTTTAATTTTACGTATTTTTCTGAAAATTTTATTAGGTTTATAAAATAGAGTTTTAAATTAGTAGTTAACTATTTTTACCAATATTGACTTGTTTAACTTTATTTAATTAATCATAATACGTATTATGTAATACCAAAATCACTTCATATAATTAATTGTATAACTATTGTAATATCTCACAGAGTATTGGGAACGTTCTTTGATCATTTTGGCCAATGCCTGAAACGCTTCTTCCACGTTTACATCCATCTTACACGAAACTTCGAAAAACGGCATATCATAACATTCTGCTATCTATAAATAATAGTTAATACAATATTTAAACACGAGTATGTATATATATATATATTAGTGTATCAAGTAATTTTTATATTCACAGATTATCGTAAAACCTAGAAAAATGTATTTAATCGTCGGCGTGATGGGACGATTATACGCGGTATAAAAATTTCGTAATATTCTCTGAATACTCACTTTTTCTCCGTCTGCTTTATCCACAGCTCTCACTGTCTCGTTGTCACATTTGTTACCAGCCAAAACTTTGATGACATCCGGCGAAGCGTTCTAAAAATTAAAGCATATATCAATATCGTTTCATAATCATAAGTAATCGTWTCATTTAAAAATGCATGTATGAACCATCAAGTTCTCGTTCGCGATTTTTATACCACTAAAACGCGTTACAACTTAGAACTCACCTCTTGAATATTCTTCAACCAGTACGTCAAATGGTCGAATGAGTCCAGATTCGTCACATCATAAACGAGTAATATACCCATTGCGCCCCGATAGTAAGCTGTAGTCAGTGTCCGGAATCGTTCTTGCCCAGCAGTATCCCTGTATATAACAAATTCATGAGAAATATTTGAACGCCAATCAACACTTTTAAATTTGCATCGTATAAACTTTGGGTACAATTGTATCATTTCAGAATAATAACTATTTTTACGGTAAAAGTACGATTTCCGGTTAATTTAATTTAATTCGCTGACTATACTAGCTGTTGGTAAATGTTAGAATTTCGGAATCAGGATTTGCCTGCATATCAATAATTGACAATTATAAATTTATAATAACCTTCTATCAAGACCAAGATTTTTTAAAATCGGCAATTATACCAGATAATTAAATTGGTATTCAACAGCACCGCAACTATCTTTAACTGGTGGACATGGATTAATAAGCTGTGATTGTTTGAAAAAATGTACGACTGACAGATATAAATGACAATCTAAAAATGTATTGTGCAATTCAAGATSCCACAGTAGTCAATCCTGTAGAAATAAATAATTTTGTAATAAAATTAATTTAATTATAACACAAATTATAATATATTAGTAATTAATGTACCTAGTCGCTATAATATACTAACACCACAGTAATATGTAATAATATAAATGTGTGTATCTAATATACTATGGTCTTTAATTTATTGCCTAATATTCTTCAAAAATAATAACTATTAATTATTAATACCATATATATTAATTGGTAAAATATTTCGGACTTTTACTAACAATGATTGTCAGTATTAAGATTTGCCAAATCATACATAATTCGGACATTTACCAACAGTAGTCGGCGAATTAAATTAAATTAACCGGTATTCGTACTTATACCCTAACATATATATATATATATACATATATATAATATCTTTGCACAGCACAATTAGTAAATGTCATCATAAAATACATAATTTTTTTTAAATATTTATATCAGGAAAAAAATTTATTAGGTACTCATCCATTTTTGCAGAAAATATGATTTTTTTATATTTTAATTTTAATTTGTTAACTTGAAATTGGTTTTTCATATTATTAATGTTATTTGCGTATCTATGTGTATTTATTGTAGAAATCTCTATCCCACCATTACTATTTCAGGCGGTGCATTAGATTTTTAATAGAAAATACATTTTACGTATTTGTACTAATTTCCTTACTTTAAACTTTCAAGTTTAAATTTGAGTGTACTAGTATTTTTTAATGAAATATTGATAACATAATATTATAACCTAAAATTATCAACAGTTTATTTTTAAATACATTTATATATTAACCTTTAACAAACAAATAATAGAAAATTTCAACATAATTAGGTTATTAATGATATAATATTAATATGTATATTTTTTTCTGAGAAATCATATGCCCGTTAATTGAAAATATTTAATGATAACTATTTATCCGTTTTAAAGTTTTAAAAATGAAAACTCAGCATCAAATTATATTAATATCTATAAATTCGGTTATTAAACATAAAATTCAGAATTATAAATTATATTCCGATTAAAACATATGTCATAAATGTTGATGTAAACTCAATCGTTAATAGAGCGTTTAAGTCTTAGCATTCATTAAACTTTGCACCAAAAATGTTAAATCTGCCCATTGTGTCCGTACTTTGTACGATTATCAAACCTCTCCTGATATATGGCGAGGTTTGGCTTTGGCACCCTTTCATTGCGAATGATCAAATCTGTATCGAAGGTGTTCGAAATAGATTTTTAGAATATGCTTCTTTCATTCTCAATATGTACTCAATTTCCTTACACCCACCACGTTCACGACATATTCACCGATTTCATCAAGTTCTACATATTAAAACACTATCCTGGCGCGCGACGCATCGAAACTTATGGTCAAAGTACAATCACTCACTTTTAAATCGGTCTTTGATGTTCCATATTTCATCAAAATAGCGTCTCTTGAAATTTCCTCTTATTCTACATGTAACCAGATTCCTTTCTAGCTCTATTCCCGGTCACGATATCTATTACGCGGTCATATTATAATCATCCTCTTCACCCCATCATGATGAGAACATATATACTCTCCAATAAATGAATTTTTAAATGTATATTATGTTTACAGTGTTTACATTGTATTGTTAGATTTAGATTCAAATTATATTTGTTCTTTTTTATAACTGCCGTTTGGCGTGTAAATTGTGATAAGACAAAAATAAAAATTTTAACATGTCAATATTCAACTATTTTCTACTGAGTCAACAGTCAAACATTATTATATCATAACAACCACCAATTTTATTTTCTCGTGCGTGCTTAATCAATAAGTTATATAAAGGAGCCCGGCTCATTTTTAAAAAGTAGTTAATAAGTTATAAGTATTTAAAGTACTTAATTTTTACTTAAGTCTAACTAATTAACTATAGGTACCTATACTACCTACTAGTTCAAAATTGATTTCTTGTGTATCGAAATTCTAAGAAAAATTGTTTACTCCGAAATATGAAATTTATGCTGTCATTAAAAAAATAAAAAGATAATGTAACAGATAAATAAATAAAATAGCAACAACTTAAACAAAGTTAGAATTTTTCGACTAAATAAGTGTGTGACACCTTTAAAAAAAATCATTCAGTATATATAACGCTATMGTTACTATCGCATTAGCTGTGAATAATATTATTCAAAAACATACATAGGATTCGATGTGAATAAAACCTATTTGACGACGGCAATAAATTTTATTGCACTGCTTTGTAAATACATTGCAATAAATTGTGCACCATGAATCTTTAAAAATATGAATATCTGTCATATAATATAACATTTTATAATTTATATATTTTATTTTATAGAGTTTGGTTGAATTTTACTTACATAACTGTATAACATCTACTTTATTTTATATTTGTATTGGTTATAATATATTTTATACACTAAAGTCTTGTTGTTTGCTAGTTAATGTTGCTATAATGTTGCATAAGCAAGGGCGTCTTATTTTACTTTATTATCATATCATATATTATACATAAAATATATATGCCAAAAATGTTTGTTTGTGTTTTATTGTGAAGGTGTTTTTTTATTCTCTTAGAAATAAGTAATTACATCGTTTACTTAGAATAATAATTAAAGTTTTATACCTACTCTTTTATCAATGATTAGGTTATGGCAGGTATTCCTACATAAAACCTAATTGAACCGTTTTGTACAAAAATACATATTGTATATGTATACATATTATGTGCATACTACAACTGTTTATATTGCATATCGACAAACGTTAGATAGTTATTTTTGTAAACATATTATGTAAAATATATTATTAATATGATTATAAAAATGCAAATATAATATTAAGTAAATATGAATAATCCATATATATAAAAGAATTTGTCCTCCGGAAGAATCACCGTAGAACCCAAACCACAGGGCAGATCTGATTGAAATTTTCAGGATGATATAATATTGTAATTTCACCGTGCTTTAAGAAARGATTTTTGGAAATTCAACCCCTAAAGGTAAAATTAAATGGTTGTAAGTATACAACAGTGGCGCCATCTCAATATATGTTAGAACATTGTTATTTGTCAACTACCAATTATTTAGTGAAAAATCTTATCCTAGCAAACCGTGACGAAATTATAAGTATTGACTTTATGTCATATTCTGTACACGTCATCATTACATCGAATGACCTAGCTATAGGTATAAAYCACTCAGTTATATTATTTGATACAAATTAAATATTACGTTGCGACTGTATCACTATAGTTATTTTCATTTTAAATSGATCGATTAGTATTCAATTTTTATTTTTTCGATTAAGGCGCTGCCTTGTATAAAATATTAGAGATAAAGTACTTAGTATATTTTAGTGAATTATTTTGAAATATCTTGATAATACAATACACTTTTGACGTTTTTGTACGTAATTTATATAATATATATATATTTTAAATATAGTGCAATTCTTCGTGATGTGCGGTGGAATACTTTTCAAATAAATATGAGAGATATCAAACATAAAATATTTCGATGGCCTTTACGATTGACATTAATGGTTGATTTGAATTTTATTTATAATATAACACAATAATGCGATAATATGTTTTATAAGTAGGTACGAGTATCAATTGTTGACTTCGTCATACACGTGCGTAACATACCATATTCTGAGCTGATCGCGTATAGCTTCGTTAGTTTACCAAAATTTAAAGGTAAAATAATTATTTAGACAATGTCGTAGGATATTTATTATATTTTAATTTTAAAGCGTTATAAATTTATAAGTATTTTAAAATTATAAATTGTTTTTACAACTTAAAATACTCGTATAAAAATAAAATCTAGTAAAAACCTTATGACCTTGACTAGATAACAATCTTACATTTAATTTTTATGATAGATCAATTCACTCTTATTTTTAAACTAACGGAGCTAAACGCAATTTACTGACCGAAAAATTAACTATATTTACGCACTTGTAAGACAGAGAAAACAAATATTAGTATTACGTCTCCTTAATGAGTATGAAAAATTATGTTAAAATAAATAAATATATCTTATAATATTACTGTATCGTAATTATAATGCAATACAATAATTGTTTGTTTGGAGTAAATTATATTTGCTTATAAATAGCATAATTCAGTGTTTGAATAACACTTATAATGTAAATTTAACTAGCACATTGTATAATAATAGGTATTTAAAATATAAATTATTTAAAACAGCGTTCTCGTGCTTTATAGAAAAATTATAAGCTATTCCACAAGACCACACATCACAATATCTGAATAATTATTATAACTTCAAGGTTTATAAATTATTTAATTCGTTCAAAATTAAACGATTTAAACGAAATAACGAAAATATGTTATTAAAATTGGATTGCATAGGTATTGACTTAATAAATACAAGAAACTTTCTATATATGTTTAAAATGTTGTAAGATGAAAACTATTTGAAATTCAAATCTTTTAGTATACAATGCATATTGTATTTTCATTTAAACTGTACACCGACACACACGGTTCCAATGTGGCCTATGGGTATAGTTATTTCATGATCAAATTGGTAAATTGAATTTTTGAACAGTTTCTCTGATTTAAAAAACAAAAACTATGGGTAGTTGCGGTTAGGTTCACAATATTCATTGTATTTGTATTGGTATTTTCTCTATTTTAATATTATTTTCCAACGAAAACGACAACACCGAGTCGTATGTATATCAGTATATGTGTATAGAACATATTTAAAAAATATGTATATTATACTCGAGTAATTCAAGGAAAAAAAGTTATATCGATATTATGGTTGCTGGTTAGATTAGCATATATTAGATAAAGGAAAGATAATTTAATTATTGACTTTAATTTTAACTGTTATAAAATCTTAGCATCGTGTTGCTTTTTGTATTATATTCACTGACTTACCATATTTGTAATTTTACTGGTTTTTCGTCCAACTGAATTATCTTCTGTTTATAATCGACTCCTGAAACCCAAACCACATGAAAATATTATTATTGTTACCATTGCTATAAATTAAAATAAGTATATTATAACTTAATATGACATTCTCGAAATTTCCTTAAAATTTTTCATTTAACCAGTCTTCGAGAGGTTGTAATAATTAACGTATACATAAATAAATTCAGTCGTGTAGCCACTTTAACAAGTTCAATATATTATCCCCTTTATTCATTCGATTTGCATGACTGCACATTGTAAAGCAACCAAATTACCGGAAGAGAACCACACATTCTAATGATAATTGTACAGGAAACAAGAAAAGACAAAATTATGTGATAAAAAAGAAAATAATCATAGAGTAAATAAATGTGTACAAGTTGTGCATTTCTGGCTGCTCTCTTCTGTAGTTTTGAAACACGAATGGGAATGACTATATTGTATATTCATAATATTCGGTTAGTACTTTCAACAAAAAAAATTGAATTAATTTGTTTGTTTGGACCCATTCTCAGGCATTCCGACTCAATTTTTTATCCGATTATAATGTACATATTTATTTATTTATTTATTCATTTATAAAAAAAAAACTCGAATACTTTTTATATTTTAATTGAACAACAATATCATCATTATCTATATTCCGTCATACTGATATGCGGATTACATGTCAAGAGCTACCTATACAATAAAATCATCGTTGTATGTTAGTTAATCCCAAGTATACGAATTTATTAAGCAATAATGATTAAAACAATTCATAAACAATGCTTTTACGAAATTATGAGAAGACAAATATCTTATGTTCTTTAGTAGGTATATAAATGTAAAATATATAATATTGTTACATAATAACGTAACAGCGATAATTTAATGAGATTTTAAATTTTTTAACGAAACCGGCATTTTTCTCCTATAGGTAATATTTATGATTCAATCTGGATTAAAATTTAGTAAAATAATTGTACCTAAATAATATAATTATGTAGTTCAATATACCTACATAGCTATATAGAATATTTCACTATGTTCGCCCTCGTTACCTTTACCCTCCTATTCGTCAACATATACCAAACTATTTAAATATTTAATGCCATTCAAATTTATAAATTCAACTAATATTTACATAGTTATATCTCTTTAAATAAGAACCAATCACAAAGTAAAGAAGATCATTTTTTTTTATTTTGTGTCTAGCTATAATCAAATAAAAATATTATGGATTTTACTAACTGCGCTGTGTTGACTTGGGTCCCTAATATAATAATCAGCATTTTCCAAAGTCATACTTTTATGTTATTAAAAATAAAAATAATTGTTGACTGTGACAAATACAACGACGATATTTTGAAACACCCTATAAATATTTATTTTTACCAAAGGTTTCGTTGACATTTACAGCAACAGCATCCATATAATATATTACCATACTATACCYATCTAATATGTGGTACATCCTTTGGTGAAATCCCCGACGGGATGTTGGATGAAGGTGGTTTCAACTTTCACACGACGAAATTTAGTTCTGACGATAAATATAGTATCTACTCGTATATATTCATATTAATAAATATACTCATCGTTATACCTACGTGAATTATTTGATTCTTTGTTCCTATGTGCCGCATCAATCATTCGGTAATATCGTATAAAATAATATTATATTTGGTTGTCTATATATATATATATACGTACAGTATCACCGATGATAATAATTCAACATTTTTTCTTCTATTTTTTGAGTTTTAGCAGTTATGAAGTTTATTTTTACTTAGTCACGCATTATAAGTTATAATTTATAACGAGCATAATACATAAATTCAGTATTTATCTAATTCCTAAATAGGTACACATATTACCCATTCTTTGATACACATAATGAAACTTCGTGGACACTACTACAAATTAACATGCATTACCGTATTTTAAAAKAGTATTATGATTTTTTTAAATTATATTAAATTCAATACCAATACAATACATAATCGGTCAAAACGAATACTGTCACAATCGATTGTATATTTCTTCCCGAGCCATACGGTGGTGCATAATAATATTCTCATCATATTTATGTGTACGATGGTCGTGAACACTTGAAAAATATATATAATATATTATGTACACATATTACAAGGCGTATAATATACACCTATTCGTGTATAATATTAAACAATACCGTTGTTTATTGTTTCTGCACGCTAAAAGTATATTATACACGCCTGTTTATTATACTCACTAGTGGTTGAATATATTATGGTCTAATATGTTACCGGTAACCGCTGTACGTAATTCGTATTTAACCACGTATTTATATACACATCGTAAGGCTGGTATAAAATAAATAGGTTACCGCAAGGTCATATAGTTTGCTGTTTACGAGCAAAGGTCATAGCTTTAATAATGAATTTAACGATAATATGCTAGTACATAGGACGTTCGTACAGAACTGGCAACGAATTTTGGGGATGCATTCAGTTTTTTTAAAAATTTAGAAATTTTCGAATTTCTATAATCAGCTGAAGAAGTATATTATTATTATTATTATTATTGGCAGTCCTATACATTTTCATAGCAGTGTATCAAGTTCGAATACGAAATCCTATTCGAATACTTTGAAATATTATTTAATTTATCGAAAATACTCCATCATGGACGTAATTTAGAGATGAGGTTGTGAGGGCTAAGGGAGAATTGGTGTTTCCTGAACCATTAATTTAAGCGACTTTCAATAATACCTATATTTATTCAAATCAATCTTTAATATTATTAAACTTTATTGATTTAACTTATGGTYTAACTATTTTACTCATTTACCAATTTTATTTACATAATTGTATGATCTAAATTAGGTATTTTATATATTRTGACGAAGTTAAGAAATTCGTTCATCACTATAGATGGATAGATTTTGTTGAGGTCATTGGGACAAAAGCACATCACTTTTATTTTTAAAATTTGTTTTTTACTTGTTTAGACTGTATGCGRATTATAGCATCACGCAAACGATAGGTATACAACTATAAAATTTCGATTATACAAAATAAGTGCACTCGACCCACGCAGCGTACTAACTATACAGCATCACCGMCGTATCGAGTAAATACTAAATAGAATCTGAGACATTTGCGATGTGAAATTTCAAGCTTGCTGTATAACGATATGTATGATGACGTGCTATAGTGATTCCATTTTTAAGCACCATCATCGCACCACAGACAATTAAGCATTTAAGTATAATCGTACATATTATTATTATCATCATCATCATTATTATCATTATTATATAGGTAGTTAATAATATTGTGATCGGTGGCCAATATTTAACGACTGTCTGACTGCTGGCGGATATTATATACAATCGTTATATTTTTTAAACTCAATCGCGACTTATATATACAAACAACGAAGCACACCATAATAATAATATTACGATATAATATTAACCGAAAGAAAATTCGCCAGTCAGCCGCTAGCCCGTAAAATCCGGCCACCTGCTCGCACAGAAACTTACCTATGGTCGATATATACGTGTCGTAATACGTCTCGTCGCAGAACCTGTGCATCAGACACGTTTTGCCGACGTTCGAGTCGCCCAGCACGAGCACCTTGTACGATTCGCCGGCGTTCATGTCACGGCATAGCCCTCGAGACACACACTGATCGGCGGCGGCGGCGTGTCGGCGATAGTGGCGTGTGAGTACACGTCGTCGTCGTCCCTTATTATTCCATACTTTGCGCCGTCGGTCGTCACAATCGTTCGATTTTGTGTGTGGCGATACGCGAGACATCGATGTCTGACAGCGCCGCGCGGTGTATATTATAAAACACTATATATAGTCTAAAGCATACATTATTATCGCGGTGTACAGTCGCCGAAAAAGCTCGATAGTTGTGCGCGTGAGTCCGCCCACTCAGCCCTCCGCCCCGTGACGGACCATATTATATACCGACGACTGCAACCCCTCACCGCCGCAGACGATGACTCATCCGATGAATATCGATTCAGTGTTGGCGGCAATTCAGTTGGGGCCGAAAGTGGTACACACGCACAATATACATGAAACAAAATAATAATATACACTTTTATTTTTTATTTTTCCTACCATCGTAAGACCAGGGTCCGATCCGCCTAGTCGTYGCCGCTGCTGTTGAACAATGTATATTTTAATGATATTTGCGATTTGCCGTTTTGACAGCATAGAAATAATTTTAACAACCCAAAATAATCGTTAGGTATATTAGGTGGTGTTTTTTTTTTTATTATTATTATTGATTATAGTAAACTCTTCCAGTGAAAATGTCCTTTGTTCAATTTACACCGTTTAACGTCACTAATAATAGCTTAGCTATATCGATTTATTGCGACTTTAAGTACAATTTTTTTTTATTAAAATATTTACAACTCTGAGCTATCGTATCTTACCATGTGTCTATCTAATTCCGTCAATCCCGAGAATAAAGAAAAATTAAATTACAGAACATATTTTCAAATTATTGAAAAACAATCATTTATGTGATCTGTCTTCGTTTACATAATATATTATATTATTTACTAAACTTTTGAAGTTTGTAAAGAACGCTTTTTAAACTTAGATGTATCTATTATCTTATATGAATAACGATATTTCAAAATTATTATCATACAAAAACCATAAAATACATTCATTTACATAACGCGTGAAGAAGCTCAGTGATACCCAAAAATTAATAAAATTGTTATTTCGTAAAGAATTTTCAGAAGAAATAAGAAATCACAATACGTGTTAAATAATTTTATTTAAAAAAGTGCTACTTGAAACTTTTGTACAGCTTTTCTATCGCCCTAAAAAGCACTGACCAAAGAAACCGTGTACCCTCTCGAAATCTGAACAAAGTTTGATACACAATCAATAACGACATCCCTTGCTAAAACCCACTCTTATAGCAAGCTTAAGGGATATTTAACCAGCTTAAACATTTACGAACCATCCTACATATTTATATTTTGACTAAATCCTTAATCCTGTAACTTRTTGTCCATATGTATGAGCTCCAAGTTACAACGAACGGCGCTTCCTATAATATTCAATCAAAATTGTGCTTATATATAATAAACATTTTATACATATTATATGATGTGTAGGTACGTAAATTTAAATTGGAGTGGAGTGTAGTAGGATTATAGTGTTATGGAAGGGAGGTCTACCAGTGTGGAAACCCTCTGACTTGAGGAGGGTGGGGGTTTATAATCCCTAATTACCAAAATAACAACTACCTAAATTTGCCAAATTGATGTAAAATATTTTATAACTATGTGACAGTGACACGAATTGATACGAGATTTTCGAATAAAATAAGAAAATATATTTTGTAATTAAGAATTGAATGTTACCGTAGTTAGGAAAATATAAACTATAGTTGAGAAAACAATGCAAAGTGCATCGAAATCTCAGCCCTAAATTAATAAAATAGCATACAATATTATTGTATTAATATTATTATTGTTAGCTTTTGAAGTAAATACTAACCTACCGTAAAATAGAATGGGTGGTTTGAGGTTTCGTAGTAAAAATAAGCAGTAGCATAAAATAATATTACAATTTTTAGAAAATATCAGAGCGTGTATAAAATATAATATTATACACGTAAAAGKAGTATCAGACTTCACAATTAATATTTTTGAATTACAACAAGATAACTAAAATCATTATTCTTTGTTTAAGTATTTAATTTCATTCAATAAAATATTTATATAAAGATATTTGATGAAAATGTTGAGTATGTGCAGTCTGTGATTATTTGCAACAAAATAAGAAAATTAATTTTTTCAAAAATTGGTTTTGCATGAGAATTCCTGTTGTTCCCATATTATGGATAATATATTTACTTGCCTTTAATTATTGAGAAAAGTATTGGAAATGTTTAATACATATCTAACTAATGTATCARCCACGTATATTGTATACTCACTAACATAAAAAATTCTGAAGTTTAAAAACAAAGCACTGTCTTCATATAAAAAAAAAATAAGACCACATCAATKTAAAATCAATACGTTCGTCGCTCCATTTAGACTCAAAAATGTACAAGGCTTATCAAATGAGACAAATTATTATAGAGTTTAATGTGTCATCTGTACCTATATAGAGCCTTCTTTTTCAAAATCGTTCATATTTTTTGCTCTATAAAAAATTATGATATTGTATTATAATATTATTATAATTATATTTTCTAAATACCTAATATAACGTTAAGAAAAGAATYACATCGCGAGTTCGTGATGTCGTACGATTTCCGCACAGACATATAYATAAAAATAAATATACTGTTTTGCGTCGTTGATTATGTCACGCTATTTGATTATTATTATTTATTTTATGTATTAATTCTCATCTGTCGCGCTTTATTGTTTCATACGTTTCATATTCGTTTGCTTATACCACCCCACACGTGACCGCAATACGTATATATTTTATATGAAGTTATACAACACCATCGTATTACAATGCAATCATACCTTATATGATATACAAAACTGCTACATCKGCCCATACACAAACACACACATAGTATACGAAATAATCTTTGTTCTCTAATAAATCCAGTAGTATAGTATATTGTACATAATATGTGCGTGAAGTTTTATTTAAACAATCGTTCAACAAGATTTTCGTTTAATTTCGTTGATCGTTTTTGGTCACATAATTATAATTTTTACATTGTTATTCTACACCRGTTTCATAAACTGCATTCTTAAAACGCACAGACTYGGTATAATAAAGACGTCTATATTCGTTTCAGAAAATTCCAATATGAATTGATAAAACTGTATATGCCCTTTGGTGGTGATTTGCTTTAACGACAGTCTTATGTATTTTGTTTATATGGAAAGAGTTGACGTAAAATATACCAATTTGGCTAATTTTATCTATTGTTTATGTTACCTACTTACTGTATTATAATTAAAATCTATATAGTTCAGCTTATCGCATAAAATATAAAATAGTATAATAAAAATGAGATTAATGTTTTCAAAAGCATGTGAAGGACGTATTTTGAATCTCAAGGGATAACTATATAAATGTAGCTTATGCTAACCAAACAGTAATATAAGCATTTCTGTAAGTTTACAACATTTGCCATCGGATTACGACAGAATTGTAATTTGTTTTTTCCATAATTTTTTTAAGAGTATATATAGTGTATATGGAACATAAATATTATACTTTAACATTTGCAGTTGGAGACGTTAAAGTTTTATGAAACTCACGTACAAGTGGTTAAATCTATATAAATATTATAAAAATGATTTAAAGTGAGTTGAACGCAAAACCTTCGAAATAAATAAAAACTAGATAAATTTCGTTACGTTTGGAAGGAGATTATACGGCATTACAGAATTGCCTACTAATATTACAATATAAATAACACAACAATATTATACTAGGTATTAGCAGGTACATAATATATGGTTTTGCAATAATCTAAATTTCAGTGGTGAATTATTGTCTTCACTAAATTTTTGTAAGTAAACAAAAATCATATCTTACTTATTCTTACCCGTGGCTTTATATATATGAAGCTCTAAACTTTAAAACCATAGCTATATTAAAAACGATGAGATWCTATTTATCTATACCTTTGAATTTAATACACCCATTATTTTTAGACGGACAAAGTAAAAAAGAAACGATTGATTTTTTATCGTCAAAAATTGATGGATTTTGAAATAGTGCATTATATATATTCTATAGTCTATTGAGCTGAAAAAATAAAAACCAAAACCAAAGTATGAGTTATTTTCATTATGATTAAGTGAAGTAAAACTCGCCATCACATTTGAAATTATACAGAACAAAACTGATAATCGAAATTTTTTTAAAAATAATCATCCCCGATAGTTAACGCTACCTGCTATTAAATTTTACCYTATGGAAACCTTCAAAAAATCATAACTTAAAAGACGACATAACTAGTAAACCTGGTATAGAATATTGTATGTAGGCTAAAATTAATCTACATAATAGGTAGATAGATATGTTAATAAACGAGAAATAGATTATACGATTATATCTCCGCTCATAATCTATAAAATTCAACTGATCAATTCACTGGCATCAAATCAATATTTTAAAATATGACAGTTTTATTTATTTTTGTAAAAATAAAATCATTAAACAATATTTGAGTTATTGTATTATATTTATATTCTGTTGTTTATTTTTAGATTCTGAACTAAGTGATGAATGTATTGATTTTACAATGATGTGTGTTTTTTTTTTTGTTTTTTCTGTGTACAGCATAACTAGTCGAAATAATGCTTCAATTTCAAACTTTGGGGGTGGTTTCCGATGTAAAAGTGAATATCCTTGGTGCATTATAGAGATCAAAAGTACACATTTTCCAACAGTTTTTTTTTTATAAGCGTTTATATTTCAAATTTTTACGAAATCCGTCGAAAACGCGAAAATTTGCAGTAATTTTGAAGTTGAAAAATTATAATTTTTTTTTTGTTTATAACTAAGGATTAAAAATACAACACTAAGTTTTCCATGAGTTTTCCTTCAAGTAGCTATAGAGAAAACTCGAAACATCACTATAGGAAAAATTTTAAGTGCGTTTAAATTTTAAATTTTTACGAAAAAGCGTAACGATAACGATTTATCCTCAAACCCGGTATAATGGTATATGTATATCTATGATAATATAAGGTATTATGAATTATGGTA